GACATACGAGACTCACGGAAATATGACACTTTTCGCGGGAAACAAGCCGTTCTATTTATAAATCTACTCGGGAAAGGGTTGACTCAAGAAATTAATGGAGATGGAGGCTCCATTTGATGGGCTCCTGGTCCAGCACATTGCAGGCAATCTTTCAAAACTTTATTCGCTTAAAGCCCTGATACTTTTAGTGTAAAAATAACAATCTCGCTCTTCAGGACTAACCACCCTCACCTCTTAACCATGGGCTCCAAATAACTTCCTGGAATTGACAGAAATCACTGCAAATTCCAGAAAATTTGCACGAGGGGGGCAACAGCCCGTCCCGTAGGGACGGGCTGTTGCCCCCGTTGGCCCAGCTAATATTTTTTGAGGGGGGCTTCCGTCAAACTAAGTCTCATGTTGTTGCACAGACACAGGGCTATCATCTGGTATGCATTTGGGGTAGCCTGGTTAAATTCCAGGGGGGTGGGGTTGTTATAAAGACTATGCTTTGTGCTAGAGTGCGGATTCGCTGAGTTTTTGTACCGGGGCTACCCCTGTCTTTCAAAGCTCAATGTCTCCCTCAAATTAAGGGGGGGTTGTGTCTGGCCGGGTGCCATGTTGTTGCACAGACATGGGGCTATCGTCTGGTATGCATTTGGGGTAGCCTGGTTAAATTGCAGGGGAGTGGGGTTGTTGTAAAGTTTGATGTGTTTTTGCACTCTTATGCAGTTTGTTTGTGCTGTTTGCATGTAAGCAATGACCCACTCTGTTCAGAATGTTCCTAGTCAGCAAGCAGTTGAACTGCTGGTTTTAGGACTTGGTTTTGTTGAGCAGTGTTGGCTTAGATCGTTTTTGGGAGACCAGCGTCAATTAAAAATGGGGTGAACTGGGGAATTGGCTTTGCAATCGGTGACACCGACACTAAAAATTGCTTCTTAAAATGCCTTATTTTCCAGATTAATGAGGAAAACGTCACTTTTGTTACCTTCAAGATAGACGATTCTATCAAATGGAGGCTCATGTATTCAATAATTTCTTTTTGAGGTGAGATTTTACTTTTCAAGTAACAAGGGCCATCAAATTAACAATCAGTGCGAGAGACTGACATTTTTTAGTAGCCCGGTTTTCAAAAAACCAGGTATAAGTATGTGCGGCCCCAAAGGGTAGGATTTTTCAGCCGTTTTGGTCATAAATTGGGTATCGCTTTTGGCTATTTTGCCGCCATTTTGGTCATAAATAGGGTAACGATTTTTGCACTGTAGTCTTAACTTTGCAGTATTATAACCTACCTAATAAAAGCAGATAAACATTGCCTTTAACATTGGTCTGAACTAGGGAAATAATTATAAGGCAGGTCTGAAACAGGGTATTGATTTAACGGTCAGGTCATAAATAGGGTATAAAATTTTTGGTTAGGTCATAAATAGGGTAGGGAAAATCGCAGATTTTGGTCATAAATAGGGTAAGGGTTTTGGGAAGCGGGCCGCACACCCCTACCCAATTTTTCTGCGAGTACCCCCCGGGATAAATGGTAGTCTCGCATGAAATCTGTTATGTACCAATGATTGTTATGTAATACCAGAAGGCACGTGGCGGTCACGGGACAGGGGTATGGGAGATTTCATTTTATTGAACCCCCACTAACTTGTGTCACGTTCATGACTTGTTACATTACTTTTAAGCTGCCATTCATTCCTGCTTTCATTGGTGAACACGTTTGTTTCAGTACTTTGCTTCTGTGCGTTTTCTGATCGCCCATCGTGACGCTTAAATTCTACTGAGGTAAGTTTCTTTTGATATTGATCTTGGTGCGATTTCTCTTCGCCCCATCGTTGCGTATTCCCGTTTGCTTTACTCGCAGTATAGATTTTCAGACCATCCCTCCTTTGCTTGGCGCTGCGGCCATGTATGAAATTGTTCCAACCGCACTCATTCTAGGCCATTCTTTCGTAAAAAGGCTTAAACGCGACTTACATCAGGGTTTTGATTCCCGAGCGTCTTGCGATAATTCGTAAAGAACAGACTCTTATATAATGTGATCATGAAGTTCTGGAGGCGTCTAATGAATAGAGATTTCATGTTAACTTTGCTTAGTAAAATGTCATATGGAGAGCTATAGTCCTGTAGTATAAGAATGCGCTTATTTAGATTATCTACTTTGTCGGCATTGCGCGCACTATAGAAAGGCAAACAGAAGAACAGTAGTAAAAATGTGGGAAAATAAAGGATTTATAAAGCTTCAATAGCGTCTCCTTATTAATACGTTTCCTTAATCTAAGCATTACGTTTATTTTCTTACAGATAACTGATACGTGGTTATCAAAAGAGAACCTATTATCTATTGTCATCCCAAATATATCTATTGAGTTATTTACTGGGAAACAAAAATTGTGCTCAGTTTTTCCCAGGATTAGAGCTTGGTGCTTCCTCTCGTTAACAATCATGCCATTGTTTTTATACCACTGATTTGCGTCATTAACGTATCTGGCATCTATGCAGATTTTGCAGGGGCGAATGACATTCTCAACGACTTTGACAAGGGGGAGAGAACTTGGGATCGAGAACGCTCCAACGCACTCTGTAATCTTCGACTATTACCAGCAATAAGCAGAATTCGATCAAATTTGTAGGACCCTTAGCAATCTGAGCACGCTATATTTAACCAAGAAACGTCTCTTTATGGTTTGCCTCAAGGGGAAACCGGTCATTTCTTTACCTCTCTAGCTGAAAAATGGAAATGAAGCGATTACAACACACGAATCTCGTTTCTGTTATTACAGTAACGTGGATTTTTCATGCATTCCTTTGTCAAGGTGAGTTAGAAAAATGGGCTTAGGTTAGTTAACATAACAACAACATGAGAAAATATATTTTAAAACAGTACTCTGGTCAAACTAACTTATCTTTTACAATTAGAATTGATTCTGCATACGTTTTGACTGAGACAGCAACAATGGAAAGTGAAATTGCATATTGAAATGGAATAACAAACAGTTAATAATCCGCTGAAAGCAATTTTTCCCTAAGCTTTTCAATCAGTGATGTGAAAAACGGCCTCAACACATATACGATATCTTATATTTACACTCAATATACGGTATTACACAAGGACAGAAATCATGGATGCTTTTAAGTCTAACGCATCGCGGTATCTTGGTTTTCACGTGACGTCATAATACTAAATAAAAACGGAAAGGGTTTTTTTAAGGTTTCATCCTTAACAAGCCTATAACTTTAAAAACAAATCGGACCTTTTAACGAGGTTTAGGACTGACGGGTTTCTCAGTTTTGAAAATAAAGCCCTTGTTCTCCCGCGACATTAAAAATAACGTAACGTCAATATATGTTAAGATTACTTCAGTAAGTACCGAAAGTTCCACGTCTTCGACGAGCCACAGACAGTCTAGTAGTTTTTCGCCATCGTCAAGTATCAAATCAACCTCGTCACAATCTTTCAGTTTACCAACTACCCAAACTGTATCAAGTACAGAGCAAGAGGTAGTTGTTCCCTCCTCCAGCAGCACTAAAATTTCATTCCCAAGTTTTTCGAGTCCCGTCAGTAGTGTATCATCACCCCTAACAGTAATTGAAACAGCACGTTCAGTCGCTTCCGTCTCCTCTCCTCCTTCAGGCCAATGGACTAGCATGAAGCCTTCATTAAGTACCGGAATTGCTTCAATACGTTCAGAGACTTCCTCAAAAGCCAAGATCAGTCAGATCTTAACATTATCTACAAGGGCATCCAGGTCCTTCAGCAAGGATATGTATGTTACATCTTCTAGTCTGTTGTCCAGAACTGCCCCTATCTCAAAGTCGCCAAAACCAACAAGCGTATCTACAACCTCTGCTACGTCCTTTAAAACTCAAACTGAGCCAAGTCCCAGCCAATCCAGTGTGGTTACACCCACAACCACTATTTCGCCCACGATTCGAAAACCCGAGGTCAGTCTTAAAAGGTTCAATGTTACAATGACGATAACAAATAGAGATTATAATAGCAGTCTTGGAGACAAAGAGAGCCAGAAATTTCAGAATTTAGCAGAGGAAGTACGAGACAATGTTAAAAATGCGCTCAACGATTCCAAAGGATTTATTTCCTCCGAGGTGGAGAAATTTCTTGAAGCCAACAGTGTTACTTGCAAACTAAAAATACTAGTTCGAGAAGACTCGGATATAACCAAAGAAATGATAAAAGTATCACTTGAAAATAGCAGTGGAAGTCTGAAACTAACCGATGTCACAGGAGTGGACACAGAGATGCCAACAACTATGGCAGTTACGGACAAAAAAACGCCTACCAAACCCACTGAGAAAACGACGACTAAGAAGTCTACGAAGGACGACGTTGTTTTTCAAGTAACAGCAACAATTCAAAACGAGGAGTATACTGATGAACTTGGTAACGTTTCCAGCGCAGAATTCAAGAGATTGTCAAAAGACGTCGCTGAAGTGCTCACTAAGATTTTTGATGGCAACTTAGCAGGGTTTCTAAATGTAGAAGTTGTGCGCTTCCAAAGGGGAAGCATAATATGCACATTTAACCTCCGAACAAAGGGGGAATCGACAGTATCAGAGAAGGATATTAAAGAATTGTTAAGTTATGAAAGTAGTAAATACACTTTTAAAGATATTAAGGTGGAGCGAAAAACAACCGGACCGAATGAAACACCTACCACGAAATTCACGGAAAAGGGTGCTGTGTTCCGCGTAACAGTGACAATACCAAACGAGGTATACACTGAAGAACTTGCAGACAATACCAGCGAGCAATTCAAGAAATTTTCTAAAGAACTGACTGATATTCTCACTGGCATTTTCAAAATCAAGGTGCCAGGTTTTCGTTGGGTGGAAATTATTAGCTTCCGCAAAGGAAGTGTTATATGCGTATTTAAAGTCATCACGGAGGAATCGAAAGCATCGGGAGATGAAATAAAAGACGTACTGACGGAGGCAAGTAAGAATGGAAAGACAGGTAAATACACCTTTAAAGATGTTAATGTGGAGCAACAGCAAACAACGGAGGTGACCAAGCCTCAAGAAAATAACTGGCCAGCGTGGGCGACTGTTATCATTGCTGTGTTTGGAGTTCTTCTACTGGTTATATTCATAATCATTTATGTGGTAAGAATAATGCAAAGTTTATGCCTTTATCAGTTTCGCAGTCTTATACATACGAACTGTCTACTAGCCAAGTGCGTGAGATATTTATTCCACCTCGAGTACCAGGGTTTTCTCCCAAAAAATATTCCACGTCCCATGAAGATAATAGCTAGCTTAAGCAACGAGAACGCTGACGGCTCGGACGTCATAGATAGAAACCGGAAGTTCGATGACTAGCTTCATGGAACGCTTCGGTCTCGCACCACAAATATAAGTGCCTTTGTTTTAACTCCCGCTGTACGAATTTGTCCAGTCAGCGCACTGAAAAGTGAAATTATCAAATTCCGAATACCATTTTTGACGTCCGTGATGTCAACCTTCTGGTTGCTTGAGGTCTCCAATAAACTCGATAGGACAAAATCTTAGTAATACGCCTTTATAATTATCCGTCAAGGTAACTCAGAGCACCACTATTTTTGCGTATAACGTAGGTCTGATAGTAAGCATTTTCGAGCTAGGTCTTGAAAGACGCTTCGCAAGCCTTAGCCGGAAACATACCAAAGTCCTATACTCGAAGACGTAAGTCTCAATATGTTTTCAACAGCGATTTGAGAAAAGGTGTCATATAAAACTGTGCAACTAAAGCGTACGCGAAAAATGCTATACGGCTTAGTCTGGGGTAATTATAATTAGTGACTCTAGACAACTTGTTACCCCTGCAATGTTTCGACCTTTCCTCGTTCTTATGGTCTCTGTTCTATTAAAACGCTAAGCCAGTCATTTGGCACTCTTGAGTACACAATTTTTCTCATGACAACCTTTCTTAAATAAGCTGTAAGACGGATAAACAACAATTGAGATCGCCAATATAACCTGTGTGCAATCGTCTTCTATTTCCGTTTTTGCCTTCAGGATATCGCCATTTAGGAACCGTGTTTTTTGCCTGTTAATCGGTGGGTACTCCCATGATTATGGCACTATTGGGGAGCTTCTGTGACATTGCTAATTATTAAAGTGGTCAAAAGTGACTGGACACTGCCCCCTTAAACTTGTGTCCCGAAGTAATACAAGTAATGTGATAAGATCTGACATATTTAGATACGCCATTATTAAAATAGAGCACTTGGTCGATCACCAACACTATCGAAAGAGTCTAGAACAGGCTCTTGGCACCTGTTTAATTCATTTTGATCCTTTGTAGATTTATAAAAGGTTAAAAAGCGGGTCTGCAGACTTACCCAACCATGATAAGGACGATGTGCCTTTAAAGGATTTAAACCCAGGATTGCCGACCATTCACCACCGCAATAGTGAGCCAACTGAAAGGTAACAAAACAAATTGCGCTTTTAACTGGTTTATTGCGTATAGTTTGATGAACATTTGTTTATAGAAAGTTAGGTTGTTCTGTCTGTAACCAATCCGTTACTATGGGCGTGCGTTTTTGTCGTCTCTTTGCCCAGTCAGTTTCACACTATTTTTGTCGGTGCCAATTTGCGTTACAGTTGGCTAATTCCAACTGAAAAAGCGGGTGTATAAATGGTGACCTCCAAAATTTCAACAAAATCGGGAATCGGTGTGTGTTGATGACCACCTCACTGACTGGTCAAGTCGACGAGAACAGCTGTCTTGCACTGCAGAACTAATTTCACTGGTATAGACTTGGATGATTTAAACAAGGGAAGAAACGGACCTTAGGACGTGAAGTCCAAAAAAATAAACTAGCACTCTGCGTGCCAGAAGACGTTACGTCACGGCAAATTTCAACTCCCTGGTGTGGCTTGTAGCTCAATCTCTCTTGTGTAAACTGAGAACAAACTGGTCTGCCTGGAGCCAGTTTGGTTTTTATCCGTTATTGTTCAGTTTACTATTCGACTGTCAAGTACTGCCCCCCGAGGGGGGCACTTGGGTTGATTTTTGCTGGGTATGTGCCGCTGGCCTCTCAAAGCCCCTAGTCTATTTTGTGGCCAATTATAAACCCCACCAAAACACCAATAAACGCAAACACTTTTGGGCAAATATGTGATTTTCGCGATCTCAACTTACTTTATTTTTATGAATTGACCCATTTTTTAAATGGAATGAAAAACACTTTACCGGTTTCATCTGCAGTGCAAACATTCTGGTACGTTTGCTAACCGTAGATATGAAGACCTGTCTTACCCCAAAAAATCCGAAAATGTGCGACCCCATTCTAGTAACTCTATTGAAAATGCGACCCCATTGTAGTCAATCCAGTCGTGAAAATGCGACCCCATCGAGCGGCACTTCCCCATAAGCCTCTTATAAGGAAGTACACCCCCCTGGAGTACTGCACTGTATACAAATGGCTAAGTGCTCATTCAAAGACTCATGTTCTATGAATCTCTATATTTTTTTACAGGACCTCATTCCTAAGTGAATCGAGAATGGAGGAATAGATGCAAGCATTTAATAACCCTTAATCCTAGTATTTAATAGCATTTATAATAATTTGTCTTTTGTAGACCCGATAAGCAAGGCCAGGTTACTATTAATAAATTCCTATTGGTACGAACTACCGTATTTACTCGATTAAACACTGCGGCGTTTATCAAATTTTCAGTAATTTTTTCAAAATCAAATTTCTTAAGTCACTGAAAATGATAACGATAAATCGTTTATAAATATTATGTAAAACAGAAAGATGCAGAGATAGAATCATTTTTGACTGCATGGTGTAGATTACCATGTCGTACCTATCTCCTGTTGCTGGTTCTTGCTTATAATCCTTGAATAACAGCCGAATTCATCTGACTAGGAGAGCTGTTTGTCGGCGAGCGGCGTTTAATCGAGAAAATACGGTAGAAATGTTGCCTCAGTCTAAAAAGCTATTCAAATTGGCTCAAAAAATCCAAAGTTATAAATATCGAAGGCCGCATAAGTAGCTACCATAGAGAATAAATGTGTTATTTGGAAAACCAACCGTACTGACAAATAAGCCCAGCCCAAAATAGGGGAGCGGCAGTTGTAAAAAGTTTACGTTACACTTGGCTTGCCCTTTTTGCTCCCTTTAGGCCCTCCTAGGGGCAATTCTTTTATAGTTCGTGTGGACTGGGGGATTTTTACATGGGGGGTTATTACAAGTGAGGGAAGCCTGATAGATTCCGGGAGTTCAATAAATTTTCATGGTTATGCTTTGTTTAAAATTGTGAAACAAAATAATTATGAGAATTGTTGAACGTGTAACGCATTTCATTAACAAATGTACCTGCTTTATAATTGGCAAATTAGGCTAGCACATTTCCTGCGGATCAGACTAGGGTTTAGTTAGCCTGCGATTAGGCTCTCCATTAGGGGGAAGGAGGCCAAAAATCACGAGGGGGCGGCGAGGGAAACCCCTTCCTATACATGTAGCTTCGCCCACCAACTTTTTCAAAACAACAACAACAACAATACAAGCTGGTGACTAAGAAAAGGAAATAAGGTAATTTATACAATCAGAAGCTTCAGTCAATGCACATTTACATCAGCTTTAGCAAACCAGTGATGACCACTGGTCTCTTCCATAAAGAACAATCTTGCCTGTATACTTTTTCAAAGATGCCATTATCAGTGATTGCAAGTGGGAAAAGAGACAACAAATAAGGCTTCGGGCTGTTTATGTTTCAAAACCTAGGAAGCTGAAATAACGAGCGCATAAAACGAGGGAAAAAACTTAGTTTGGTATACGGTATTTTCTCGATTAAACGCCCCGGCGTTTGCTGACTTTGCATTTTATTCCGGCCTGAAGCTTCTAAAGAATAATGTTTACGCTTTTTGCAACAGCGGTGTATCTTCTCTTTCCACCTTAAGATTGTTATAGCGCAAATAAACATTAACAGCTTCCTCTCTTAGATCCGGAGTTTACTGGGGTCCCCGTGTTAATCTATAATGTTAGCTTATATCGTAGAACTGCTATTGGGAATTTCAAGCTCTTGGGTGGGGCTGAGTTTGACCTAGCGAGCTGTTTCAGAAATTAAAACAAGAGATTTTTAAACTTTGTTAGAATTGCCTAGAATTGACATTGATTGAACGTATTGAGTATACGTGACCATGAGGTATGCTTGGTTGCACACGTATCTTCTTACTCCTCTTTCTTCCAGGTAGTATGGTTCGTGTATAGGTAGCAAGGGCGTGTTCCTCCTCGATGTTTTGCATAAAAATCGCTGTTACAAGAACAGAAATTGGAGAGCCCTTGACTGTTCCGTGTAACTGATTGTAATGTTTACCATTACAGTAAAAGTACCTCGAAAACATCGAGGAACAAGCCCAAGTTGCTCACTACACCCGAGCAATACCTCTCTGGTTACGCCACGTTAGCTCCTATTCTAAATTACTGTTTAGTACAAACTCGACGAGATTTTCTTACAAGCGTCGAAGACAAAGACTGACCGTAGGACAGACAAGGAGCAGTATACAACATTACTTGCTGCAACAAACGAGCGACCGGAAATGTGATGCCACCTAGTACATTGTTTTACACCATTTACGGATCAACCACCGAATCGACTGTGACTCTGCTAAAGGCATTACGTATTCCATAAACTACTACTCTGTACCTGTCTCCCTTTAACCAGGCATACATGCTTCCTGGACTAACTGCCTAGAACCTCCGGCACTTTCTTTCGTCTCCTTCACTCCTTCCCCTTCTGATGTGAGGAGGCGGAAGAGAGCAAAAACTGTGTCGTTGCTTTTCCTATTGCTATTCTTAGTTACCCGTAGGCTACTGTCGTTCCAGTGTTTTCCGTGGGATACTTGGCCGATAAAAGTAAGCAGACAGACAGAACGAATTCTGTTGTTAATAGTGTTCACAGAAAACTTGTTTGTCTTCGTCCAAGTATATGCAAGGGCAACTCACCATGCAAATGAAAATAAAACTCCCCCCGGGGGGGGGGGGCGACTCCCATATGAAAAGGGCGAGGATGCTCGTCCTCTCGCTTAGTGGTGAAAATTTCAGGTTTTGGTCTCACTTAGGGTGTTCTGGGCAAACCGCACCATTATATTTAGCCATAGAGATAACTTTTAGGGTTGCACTCTAAGAAATATATATTTTCAGTTCGTTTTATTTACTCGTTTCATGTAATCAAAGTTTAAAATAATCGCTTTTAGGGGTCAAAAAAAGGTCTGGGCCACGCCCAGATTGGTCTCCTTTAGGGGTCTAAATCAAAATTTCCGATGAGCATCCCGGCCCCTTTCAGATGCCCCCCCCCCCCCGGGTTAAAACTTCGCCACTTATGTCACTATGGCTAATGGAAACACAACTTGACAGGCATATGCTTAATTGCGTTCGAAGTTGAACGCACTCATGATACAGATTGGAACATGCATTGAGGTGAAATTACAAGGAACAACTGTCGTTGACTGATTGAACGAACTTAGGGTCACGTAACTGGTATTTTGGTACCAGAGGTTTTTCTCGCTTAGGGCGGGATTCTTCGGTGTCGTGGTCGACCGAAGGCCGAAGCCGCGATAAAAAAGGGCGGGTCACTATAAAGACTTGACCGAAACCAGAAACCGCACATGAAAAGTCTCTGGCAAGCACCCAAGGTACGTATCTGTCAGCGACTTGACAAGGGGGAGAGAACTTGGATCGAGAACGGTCCAACGCACTCTGTAATCTTCGACTATTACCAGCAATAAGCAGAATTCGATCGAATTTGTAGGCCCCTTAGCAATCTGAGCACGCCATATTTAACCAAGAAACTTCTCTTTATGGTTTGCCTCTAGAGAAAACCGGTCATTTCTTTACCTCTCTAGCTGAAAAATGGAAATGAAGCGATTACAACACACGAATCCCGTTTCTGTTATTACAGTAACGTGGATTTTTCACGCATTCCTTTGTCAAGGTGAGTTAGAAAAATGGGCTTAGCTTAGTTAACATAACTTTGGAACATAAACTTTTTATTCAACATGAGAAAATATATTTTAAAACAGTTCTCTGGTCAAACTAACTTACCTTTTACAATTAGAATTCATTCTGCATACGTTTTGACTGAGACGGCAACAATGGAAAGTGAAATTGCATACTGAAATGGAATAACAAACAGTTAATAATCGCCTGAAAGCAATTTTTCCCTAAGCTTTTCAATCAGTGATGTGAAAAACGGCCTCAACACATAAACGATATCTTATATTAACACTCAATATATTACACAAGGACAGAAATGATGCTTTAAAATTCATACTTGTAAGTCTAACGTATTTCAGTATCTTGGTTTTCACGTGACGTCATGAAAGGGTTTTTTTGAGGTTTCATCCTCAACAAGCCTATAACTTTAAAAAAATCGGACCTTTTCACGAGTTTTACGGCTGACGGGTTTCTCAGTTTTGAAAATAAAGCCCTTGTTCTCGTGCGACATTAAAAATGCAACTGAGAAAGGTGTCACGTTTGTAAAAAAAACACGATTTGTCGTACGACATTTTTAGAAATATGTTAAGGTGAGCATTTGCTAACTAATCACATTCGTGGCAAGAGCTTGACAATAGATTTTGCAGTAATTGTAGCCTCCAAATTTGTTTCTCAGATTGGCACAAACATGGAGTCGCCAGAGAGAGTCCTATGAATTTTTGTAAAACATTTGCAGAATAACTTATTACCAGCGGAAAACCGCACAGACCTGAGACTTAGACATATTGTTTATTCATCAGTATTCGATAATAACTCAAAGTCGTGGCTTGAGGCCAGGTATTAAATGGTTTCAGTCAATGGTTTCATAGTCTTCGATGGCTTGTCTGTGAAAACCATCAACATCCTCATGATGAGCTGAGGACCACAGAAAATACTAAACGACTTCACGAACAGTTAGTGAGCTTTAGCAGAGGCGTCTTTGAGCGACAGACGACAACTCAACGTTCCCTTTTAATATTCCTTGACTCTACCACAATTGTATTGTCAAGTTCTTTTACCCTTTTTTAGAGACGATTTGAGGAAAACCTATGCCCAAGAATGCAAATCGTGCACTTCCCATTGCCTTCTGTCGCTTTAAAACGCCTTTGCGTAAGAGAGCTCTAAAATCCAATTTTTTTAAAGGCAAAATCTCTTTCAAAATATGCCTTAAAAAGAAAAAAGAAACAGAAAAGAGACAAAGAGGAGTAGAAAAAAGGACGAAAATAGGAAGAAAAGTAGAAATAATGAATATTCGCTATCATGCAATTGCGTCAATCAGAAACGAAAACAACCTGAAACAAGTAAATCGGTAGGTGGAATTATGTGTAGTGGACGTACATTTCCATTTCGTTTCTTGCCTGAATACGGCAGACTTTGATTTTATATTTAGTATCGCTTGTCACAGCAATAATTCATGGCAACAAAGTCAGTTCTGGATCAATAATTAAGTGATGATCTATGGTCAGACCTGTTGCATTTTCTTGTTTTATGCGGTAATGCTCTCTTCTCTCACAAGAATGTATTCATTTACACAAGGGGAATGCATGAAGCTCCAGAAGAGCAGTTTACTGAATAAGATGTCTTTAAACCCCCGTTTTGAAAGGATTTATTGTTTAACGTTAAGACCAATCATGACAGTTCCATCTAATAGCCAAGTAAAGCGTATAGTTTCAAGTTTTCCCACAAAATGTCCCACGTAGGACTTCCTTGTTACAAGCTAAGGACGTTAACGTGGAAAACTATAGATAAACATACATCCCGCTTTGTGAAGTCCTCGTCAATTTTACTGTTTGCAATCGAAAAGTATGGTAAATTATTCTTACTTGTTGTCAGACTATTCCACACTTCCACACACCTAAAAGTTTGGAACTAAGCAATCGATAAGTCACGAATGACCGAAGGGATTCATGATGGTGAGAAATGCGACATAATCGTTACTCTATCAGACTACAGACAATTCCACACCTCTAGAAATGTGAAGCAAAGTAAAGAATTACAAGGGTTCAGCGACAAGGGAGAAGCATAACATAATCCTTACTTTGTCAGACCATTCCACACTTTCACACCCCTAGAGATATGAGGCAAAGCTAAGTGAAGAATTACAAGGGTTTAGTGATGAGGGAGAAGCATGGTGACATAATCCTTACCTTAATCCAGACCGTTCCACACTTTTACACCTTTAGAGGTGTAGAACAAAGGATAACCAAAATAAAAAAGGAATGTTGTGGCTAGAGTTGGACATTTGTGTCTATCTCGATGGTGAAGGAGTGACGAGGGAAGGGGCGGGGTAGTGTGTGAGTGTTAGAGGTATGGGATAAAGCTGTGCGGTGTAGGTAATAGGTAAAGGGGTAACGTACCGTACAGAGGTGATCACATAAATCAAAAGATAAACTTTGTTGCTTTTATAGGTCAGAAGATTAAAAGTAAATCATCAAGTTTTTCAAGTCCCATCAGCGGTGTATCATCATTATCTCAAACCAAAGTTCCATCGGAAAGTTCAGTGGCTTCCATTACTACTCCTTGTTCAGGCCAACGAAAGATCACATCCCCGTCATTAATTACTGGAATTGCTTCATTACGTCTGGTAACTTCCTCAAAGGCCAAGATAACGCAAAACTCGAGATTATCTGCAAGTACATCATGGTCATCTAGTACCCATTGGCCTGTTACATTTTCTATGAGTATGGTTTCCAGAACTGCCTTTTCTTCAAAGCTGCAACAGCCAACAAGCACACAAACAGTTTCTGTTAAGTCCTTTGAAACTCAACTTCATCCGATTCCAAGTCAATCTCATAGTGTTCCACACACAAAACCAATTTCGCCGCCAACTCGAAATCTAGAAAAAAGTTTTAAAAGGTTCGGTGAGACAATAACGAGCAATCCCAGAGAAAAAGAAAGCAAGGAATTTCAGGATTTTGCAGCGGAAATACAAGACAATATTAACAACGCACTCATGACTTACAAGACATTTCTTGAAACTAACAATGTCATTTGCCAAATAAAAGCATTCGTGCAAGGAGACTCGAATAACACAGGAAAAATGAAAAATCGCTTGAAAAAAGTCCGAGTCGTAGCCAATCCGTTGGTGTTACCCCCACAACCACTTTTTCATCTACGACTCAAAAACCAGCTGTCAGTCTTAAAGGGTCCGATGCGATAATAATGATAATAAAAAGAGATTACAATAGCAGTCTTGGAGACAGAGAGGGCGTAAAATTTCCGGATTTTGCAAGGGAAGTTCAAGAGAAGGTTAACAACGCACTCAAAAGCTTAAAAGGATTTCACTCGTTGTTGGTTAAGAAAATTATTCAGGCTAACAGTGTTATTAATCAAGTAAAAATATTCGTCCAGAGAGAATCAAATATTAAAGGAAAAATGGTGGCGATGTTTTCCAAAAACCTCACTGGGGTGCTTACTGAGACTTTCGGAACCACGCAAACGTCGTCCCACGTAACGGCATTAACAACTTTATCACCGCCATCCATTACTAAAGTTGATTCGGTGAACTCTTTGACAATTTCAACCCAAACAAATCCGACCAAAAGTCAGTCCGTTGGAGTATCTTTATCGTCGATTTCGGAAGTCGGATCGCAAACTTCTGGTACTCTAGCTACGTCTCAATCGTCGCCAATAAGCGCCTTCTTACGTTTTGTGGCTTCACATACCACGCAAACATTATCGCAAGCAAGCACATTTAAAAGTGTATCCCTATCGTCTTATATTGATGCTGATTCAGTAAGCCCTTTGACATTTTTGACCCAAACTACGGCGACCCAAAGTCAATCCATTGGAGTATCATTATCGTCGATCCTGGAATTAAGATCTCTGACTACTGGTGCTCTAACTACGTCTCAATCGTCCCCAGTAAGTCCCTCTTCAAGTTCTGCGGCTTCACATACCATGCAAACATCATCACAAACAAGCACATTTACAAGTGTATCACTATCGTCTTTTATTGATGCTGATTCAGTAAGCCTTTTATCATTTTTAACCGGACCTACGGCTACCCAAAGTCAGTCCATTGGAGTATCAT